CTTATTTTGACATTTTCAAATATAGCCTGCTCAGCAAAATAGATGTATTATAATTAAAAAAATATATTTCTTTACCCAAATCTTGAATAAAAAAATTTCTTTACCCAAACCTTTAGAATAAACAACTTTTCTTAGGTGACTTCAACTTCTGAGTCTATTTCTTGATGTATTGCGAGTAAACAAAAAAAGCAATTATGAAAATAAACTGATTTTCTATGTTGAATATGAAATATATGTATCATAGAAGTCTTTTTATTTTTTAAGTTTATTTATTATTGTTGATACCACTTTTAGATATCCCCCATTCCTTCCTCTTACTTCTCTCCTCAAGTCAACTCCCAGAGCACCACAGGCTTGCACCACACAATGTCTATGTTATGAGCTATATATATATATATATATAAATTCTTTGGTTTGTTTTTTCTTCGTCCTCAATATCTCTTCCCTCTAAGATCTGTCTATTCCATGGACCTATTTTGTTCATCAGTTTATTTTGTTCATTAGATCCTACATATAGGTGAGATCATGTGATATTTGTCTTTCTCTGACTGGATTGTTTTACTTAGCATAATGGTCTCCACGTCCTTCCATGCTATTGCAAGGGGTAAGAGATGCTTCTTTTTTACAGATACATAGTATTCCATTGTGTAAATTGTACCACAGCATTTTTCAAGCACTCATCTACTAATGGGCTGTATTATAGAATTATATAATTACTGTATTTATAAGGTGAACACTTTTTTAATTATCTCTTTATACATCCTTTATTTTAGTGTGTGTGTGTGTGTGTGTGTGTGTGTGTGTGTGTGTGTGTCTTTATATTCATTTTACTCCTTGGTAAAATGAGATGCATAATTTGTAATCCACACAAATGAATTAAAGGAATGAGATAATAGGTTACATGCTTAAGTTTGTGTCTAATCTGTGTCTGTATACTAACTAATTTTACTAATATAATTTAGGCATAATGAATTAAACATTTTCAATTCAACAAAGTGATGGCTTTTCCTTATCTCTCACATTCTCTCTCTTACTCTTCATTTTTCCATTTTGGCTTATATGAATAATGCCTAATCTCAAATTTGATATACGTAATTGCCTTTTTGATGGAATATTTGCTGTCTTATCCAGACTAACACTGGAGTGGAGAAATCATTTGGTACAACTTAAAAATATAAAGGTTAAATTAAAAGACAATTTCTTTAAAAGTCCTCATTATGAAGATTCACCAAGTTGGTGCAGATGTCTTCACTTTGCTTTCAAGGTTAGACATGGATCATATTGAATTGTATTAAATATTAAGAAGTTTGCTATAAATTTGGGAGTTCTTTGTAAATTTAGTCTCCAAATATAATTGTGAGCCCCAAGATCACAATTTTGAGTTGCTTCTATAGCTTTCCACTTTCTTCAATAAGGAGATCCAGAAAGAAGAATCTCCTTTAACATTCACCAATTAAATTAGGGTATTTGAAATTCACTAAAAGTTTTCAATTCAACTCTAAGCCCTTAAGAGCATTCCATAGTCCATTTAGCATAACTTCATCTGTTAGTACTTATTCTATTCCAATGCCAAACTCTAGGCACAGTGAACTTTTTCACTTCTCAAAAAAACGCTTGTGTTTACAAATTACTTCATTACAGTCTAGACAACTCTTTCCCACACATTTTCTTCCCTCTCTATGGCTAACTCCTTCTCATCCTTCACACTGTAGATTATGTTTTATCAGGGAAATATTGATTAGTTATATACAATAACTCCTTGATATCTCCTCTGAAGAATAATGAGTCCCTCCTATCAATATTTTAATAAAATTACTTGTTTTATATTGGTTTTACTCACTATTTATGAGATCCACAAGACAAGACACTACAAAGGGAGGCAGAATTGATAAGGAAACTTGAAATTAAATTTTATTTGAGAAAAATAATTTTTTATGCTTGGAGAATATGGAAATGAAATGTAGGCAGAATTCTGAGAAAGAAGAAGAAACCCCACAACATGGCCTGAAAAGAACATGAGCAGGGAGAAATCACCACTAGTAGGAACACTGCTTCTAAGAATCCTATCTGATAAAAGAGAAATATGCAAATTGACCATCACTCCAAGATACAAGATGGCCACCCCCATGTGGGCAAAAATGGCTGCCACCATGTGGAAACAAGATGGCCACCATAAGATGGCCTGCAGGGGAGAGTAGTTGTGGCCAGTTAGTGGTGATGTTACCAGCAGAAGAGGGCATTTGAAGTGACCTGGCTGGCAGAGGAGGGCAAGGAAGGAAGTACAGTTGGGTGGGACCAGGCATTCCAGGGAAGGCAGTTGGGGGCAATCAGGCTGGCTGGGGAGCAGTTAGGCATCCATCAGGCTGGCAGGGGAATGGTTAGAGAGTGATTAGGCTGGTAGGCAGAAGCGGTGAGGGACAATCAGGCAGAGGCAGGCAATTGGGAGCCAGCAGTCCTGGATTGTGAGAGAGATGTATAACTGCCTGTTTAGGCCCTATGGGTTTGGTCCCAAATATAAGGAGACCAAAATTGGAGAGGATGAAGGCAGTGCTGAGGAACCCTCCCCCCCTTACGAATTTCATGCACTTGGCCATTAAGTAGTAAATATTAGAGTAGAATTTCCAGTTGGCTCCTACTTGTATATGACTTGCAATTTTTTATTTTACTAATTCTATTATGTTGCACACCACTGTGTTGATGTGCACTGGAAATCAGAAAAGAGAAAGAGCCTTGTTCTGCACCACAGGTAATGTTGACCATAGATAAAATGGTAGCTGCAGGTACACAGAGTGATTGCAAGGAGCTAATGACAGGAGAGAAGTAGGTTGCAATATGAAGTACCTAGTGAGAAAATAAGAAAGGACCCTCTTCCTCACTTCCCTTTGTGGAGATTAAAAAAGAGTGCATTTCAGAGGGAAGGTGGGGTAGGGTGGATGGGTGGGAGATAATAACCAAAGATAATCATGGGAGATAATCAGCCATGGGCAAAGAAAATAGAATGGTGAAGGCTTGGGGCCAGGGGTAGGGGCAGGCTGGAGAGGGTCAATGGGGGAAACATGGGGACATATGTAATACTTTCAATAATAAATATTTTTAAGAGTGCATTTAAAATGTCCAACACCAACAGTAAATGATCTTTGGAGGGGGATAAGTATGGATCACATTTCTAAAATCCTTGTTTTTTTTTATTACTAATGTAAATTTAAGCATTGATTCATTGGATTTCTTAAACTACCAGTTGTTCTTTTCACTCTTTCTGGAAAGTATCCATGTATTGTCAGTTTAACCATTGTCTCTGACCTCTCTTTTGCTTGTAAAAATGCAATTAGACACTGCATTTTCTGTGTGTTTTCATTTCTTCTTTCAATTTTCTTCCTCTTTATCTCTTATATAAATTCCAGATAAAGTTATTTAGGTCTATTTCCTAGTCTCCAAATTTCTTTATAGCTCTGTCTAATCTGTTAAAAAAAAAACAAAAAAAAAAAACACCTCATCCACTGAATTTTCTAGTTAAATTATTGTATTTTTACTTTAAAAATTTTTTTTTTACTTTTTCAAAACTATTTGTGGTCTTTATTCATATCTTAAACTTTTTTTACCTTGTATATGTCAGTTTTACATCTTAAATAACTATAAAGCACCTTATAATATTTACCCTCTTCCCTCTTTCACTGTCACCTGCACTGGTTCATTGAAAATCTGAAGTCAGCCTTATTAGCAAAGTGGAATACACTGGGAAGTTGAGAAAATTCTCATTTCTCAATGGCTACTGTTTGCAGCCTTCTCTGGAAACAAGTTCTGTTTTTCTATAAATGAAAGTTCCTATTTTCCACCATAGTATAAAAATGCTGAGAGGAAGCACTTGCGTTTTCTAAATAATATTTTTTTCAGACAACTGAAAAGATAAAACAATAGATCCTGAGAGGACCAAAGAAATACAAACACTTGATGACTTTGATGATGAATTTTATTATGTTTTAGAGTTGCATTTACATTTCCATACCATCAAATCAGTAAGAAAAGCCATTTTCTTTGAAAGCACAGAAAAGTATCTTAAAGTTAAAAATAAATTGTTATAAACATAATTACGTGCATTAAATTATGATACTCTATTTGTGTATAATAAATAAGTATTGACCAGCAAGAATTTTTGCTGTTTGGTGAAAGAGAGTCTTAATACAGGATTCTGGGGATTCAACACAGAAGAACACAAGGCCAACAGTGAGAGAACAATCTGAGGAACATCAAAAATAGGATTCCCAATTTAATTGGATATTCTGTTTGTTTTTAATTTTGCTAAATCTAGCAAACTCAATCAAAATAAGTCAACTTTGATCAAGACAGTTCTCAAGTATATTATTTAATATCTAAAATAAATATAAATTTACAACCATCATTATACTCTCCTATCAACAATGCTCCTTTCCCATTTTCCAAAATCATGCATAAATATTACTCTTTTTGATGTTTAAATAAATATATAAATAATAAGTAAGTGAATAAGTTGCCCTTGGAAATAATTTATGTGAGCATGAAAGACATTAAATTGTTTTCCATATCCTCACATCACAGTGAGGCGAAATGGTGACTGATATATTTTTTCTAGGTTAAGAATAAAGAAGAAATCAAGGCACAGTTAAAAGAGACTCATGGATCTTGACTGGCAGACTAAGGTTGCAATATTTAAGTCCCTTCTCCCCAAAAATACAGGATTTCTGGCTAAGTTTGAATTTATTGGATGCAGTGAATTTTTTGTTTGTTTGTTTGCTTGCTTTTTTTTTTTTTTTTTAAATAAGTATATCCTAGATATGGCATGGGACATTGAAAGAAACTCTTCATTGTTTTACCGAATATTTAAGTCTAATCAGGCATCCTGTATTTTAGCTGAGATCTCTACATCAAACCCAAACAATATGTGAAGCACTGAAATAAATTGGTTAGACGTTTCATTGGCATCTTTACTGAGGAATTCTTCGAAACCGTGGAGAGTGCTTTTTTTTTTAAGGCTCTTTCTCCCCAGCTCTGAAAATAAATAAATAAAATGTAAAGATTAACAATGTTCTAACAGGAGTCAAGTGTGGTCCTTATATATAATACAGAAACTAATATAGTCTTAAATAGTCAGATGTTAGAAATGTTCTATACTTTCAACGATAGAGAGACCACATAAGTCATCCTCCAAAGCAGGACACTTCTGAGAATGAAACTGAATTATAATCATGGCACAGGGACCAGGCACAGACCTAGACTTCCCTGAACAAACTGAAATGTGTGGTCTTCCCAATAATGAGTTACAATGAACTCACTATTGCTGCTATTTATTTTTAATTAAAGAGGCAATTACCAAAAATATGTTCTTGGCAGCAGCAGGAAATTTATAGACTGACTTTTGGACTATATATCTCATGATAAATGAAAAATCTAAATTAAAAACAACAACAAAACTTACCTCTCTAAAAATACCTGTACAACCTTCTGCACCCATGTTGCCTGGGGGTTCAAGCAGAGCAATAATCCATTTTCCAAGGTTACACTGCAATGAAAGAGATATGCTTAAAATCAACATTTAGCAGTTTCAGACACCCCTTTGCCACTCCAGTCATTTTTCCTTAAGTATGGGCATGAAGTCTAAGTCAAAAGCCATTTAGAGCTATGAATCATGGGAGTGACCATACTTAAATGCCATTCATACCCAGAATATGTCCTTCTGTTTAAGCCACTACTGTATTCCTAGTACCTAGAACTTTGTTGGATGCTTCCATCTTCCTCAATTCCAGGTTAGCTAAAGGAAGATATTTAATCGCTTATCAAAGTACTTACATGATTTCTGTATGATCACATTGTGGTCCACTCTCAATCACTCTCAGTTCCTTGACATACTTGGGGTGGAAAGGTACAGAGTGCGTACCAACGCAGAGGCATCGAAGTTCTGACTCTCTACTCGGCAGAATTGATGCTGTGGGGAAAAATAAAACTATTATAGATTGATTTCAACAATAGGGAGGGCTCTGCTAGCTACAACCTCTTCAATCCCAATGTGATAACTAGAAGGCTGTGTGTTTTACAACATCGCATCTTTAGCAAACTCATTCTAGAAATTGAAGGCTGGATATTCTCCTTGCCTCTGACATCAGTTTTTCTCAGTTTTCAAAACAGTCACTCCTTATAACATTGAATATCATCTACATAAAGACTGGAGATGTCTTTGTGCAATGTTGCATCAAGATTATTTTCTACTAGATATTCCCTAATGCTCTGTGATACCACAGTGCTATCTGTAGTATGCAAACTTAGATTAATGTATAGGGAAATTGTCTTCAGAAAGAATTAATAGAAAGATATAAATGAGTTACATGGAAGTTCCTTATATTTTAACACAATTTTCAATGTTTGAGAGAAAAGAAAAAAAAACTTTATATCATAAATGTTCTAAATTGTATTTATTTCATAAAATGAATCTCAAGAACGTCTATGTTCTGTCAGGGTGTCCTTAAATCAAAAGGAAATTGATAGCTATCTGAAGATTTTCGGTAAAATAGTACAGAGTGTAAAATTACCTGAGTTATCTTGCTCAATATTAATTTATATTATAGGTAACTGTGGCTTCCAATAAGATACACTCTAACTTATACATTTATATTAAATACTAGAGGCCTGGTGCAAAAAAATATTGTGCTTTGGGGAGGTCCCTTAACTCAGCCTGCATCCTCTCCAATCTGAAACCCCTGGGGTTATGTCTGACTGCTGGTGTAGGTCCAATACCTGAGGACTGTTGGCTTCTAACCACTTGCCTGCCTACATGCCTGATTGTCCCTAACTGCCTCTGCCTGTTGACCTGATTACCCCTAACTTGTTCCCCTGCCATCCTGATAGACCCTAACTGCCTCAGCCTTGCCCATGCCTAAACCACAGTCTGGCCTCCCCTTGTAGGAGATGACCTGGCAAATTAGGGGAAGGCACCACCCCATTACCCTGCCTCTGCTGCCACTGTCTGGTGAGCCTGGGCCCTTCAAGGCAGCAACTGGGCCCTTCCAAACCACCTGTGCCTGCCTGAGCCTGGGCCCTCAGTCTCTGTGGCTTTGTCAGGAAGGATATCAAGAAGATTGTCTGGAAGACAACATTACCCTTTGATTAGTATAGACATGCATACTACAGAGTATAAATGATAAGAACAGAATGTCTGTATTAATCAAGCATTACATTTTTCTTATTGTATAGATACAGCCTAAAATAATTAAAACTCCATTTTCATTAATTACCATTAAATGATTGCAAAGATTATTTTCTATTCTTGAATAAAAATGTTTCTTTGTTTTTAATCAAAGCATGAAGAATAATCTTACCATCTAAGGATCACATTTAAACCCAGGAAAACTGCATGGGAAAGATGTGCTTACCTGCGTGCAGAGATGCAGATAGCAGGATGGTTGCCAGAAGAGCAACAGCCAGCTTGGAAGTCATGGTTAGAGCAAGTTGGTTTCTTATGGGCTCTTCTCCTGGATGCTGCTGAGGTCTGTTGTCCTTAGGGACTTGTGCTGGATGCAGAGCACCTCTGGCTTTTTATACCATCTCAACAGCGAGACCTGTGCAACCGCTCATTCTTGTATTAGGTCAGAGGAAATGCCACCACCTGGAGCTTTCCGGTCACTCTTTGTGAACAAGCCTGAGTCACCATTGGTTTCTTATCTAATTCTCAGCATGATTGAACATGTATTGCTTCTTTAAAATAATCTAATTTCATTCAAAAGCATGTTTGCTTTAAAATATTTTTAAACAGTGAAGCTTCTCAGTTTGATACAATTGTCAGTTGTATTCCTTTATACTTATAAATAACTTTATTGTAGTACCATCTTCCAGTTGTTAGAGTAAGGTCATTTATGATTATTCTTTTCTGGCACAAATTCTGAAATTTGTATGATTATTCTTTAATGTAAAGTATATGTGCTGTGATATATGAGAGAGTTGCTCTCCTTTCTAAGAGTTTTGGAAAGTTTCTGCTCTCAAGGAACAAAGTACAACTTTTCAAAAGATTTGGAATGTATATTTAATGGAATGAAGTTTGTGCCCTTTCATTCTGTCTGACAAATATTTATCAAGTAACTTCTCAGTAAAGTGTACTTTTTCTTAAAGGGATTGGTCTATCAGAAGAAGAAAGCAACATTAGGAACTGGACAACATTATATATATATATATATATATATATATATATATATATATATATATATATATATATATATATATATCATATATTAGGGAAGAAGGGAAAGGGAAAGGGTTAGAATATCAATGATGAGAGAGAATCACTGATGGGCTGCCTTCTTCAAGCTCCCTGTAATTGAGCCCATAATCCAGGCATGTTCCCTTGACTGGAATCAAACCCTGGACTCTTGAGTCTATAGGCTGACACTGTATCCAATGAGCTAGACCTGCTAGGGTTCCTCTTGCTTTTAACTCTACTATTACAGGAACTTCATTTTTCTTTTACTTATTTAATATATATTGATTATATGTTAATGCTAAGTATTATAGTAGGATATATGATTACTGTGTAAATAAAATCAAATCTCTGATTTCAAAGATTGTGCAGTCTGGTGCCAGATATGGACAATTAGTGACACAAGCAACTACAGTTTTGATGAATTTATAAAGAAACAACCTCAAAGCTATGACCTTAAATTGGTAATGAGTAGAAGTAAAACCAATGGTATAGGGAAAAGGGTTGGCTGCCTTGCTTATGGAGGAAAAAACAATGATAATGAGATTTAAGAGAACATAGTTCACTTGGGTTCTTGACATTGTTGAGCATTGTATGAAAAGCAGTGTATGGAATGAGGAGAGGAAAAAAGTGAAGCCAGCTATGTAAGGAAGACCCGGATCTTAAAGAAAATTGACTGCTTCTTTTCTTCATTAATATTGATTTGTTCAGCAAGAACATATTCCCCTATGGACAAACCTTAGGTGACTGATTCAGTTCCTCTTATCAGGACATAATTTGGTGGCACCACTCAGATGCTCAGTGTTCTGAGGATTTGCAAACTTCTCAGCCTCTCAGGTTGCCTTTGTATTTTTCCTGAGTCCTACTAACTTAGCCACCTCCTTGCCATCCCCATTCCACCTCTTCATGTCCTCCTTTTCTCCTCTCAGGGTATCACTTGTAGTATGATACCAACCCAGCTTACTTTTTCAAAACAATGGAGCATTAATTAATAAGGCAAACCAACCTCTTTGCTGTTGATCATTTCTCACAATGTAGCCTTGATGCATTCTGTCCTCCAACTCTATTCATCAGAGGTAATAGTGAACAAAAATAAAGTGACCACTTCTCTAAAAGTAACCCTTTGAAGTAAGTAGCATAATGGGGTAAAAAAGCAACAAGGGCTAATTATCCTATTTTAAAAATTGCTGCTTTGAAATAGAGTAAAAACGAGTGAAAACTTTAACAAAGCTGCACATACATGCAAATGATATTTTATGACCCACTAAGGATGAATGTAAGCTTTGTGGGACTATCAACCAGCAAGCTGTTTAAGTTCTTACCAGTTCCTGAAACATGAGAAGCACTTAACAGACTAACATTCAGATAGTTTCAACATAGTCATGTGATCAAATCTATCACCCAAGAAAGCAAAGAGTTCAAGAAAAAGTCAAGACAAAGATTGGCATTTACTTTTTCCACATCTATAAATAACTCCTCTTTATCCATCAAACTCCCCACAAGAAAACTGAATGCCTTTTTGCTATTTTAAATCACCTATGGAACCCACCTCTCTTCATATATGTGTTTTAAAATTAGGGCGTTATATATATATATATTTAACTGATTTTTTTACAGAGAGGAAGAGAGAGAGATAGAGAGTTAGAAACATCAATGAGAGAGAATCATCAATCACCTGCCTCTTGCACACCCCTACAGGTACATGCCCTTGACTGGAATTGAACCTGGGACCTTTCAGTCCGCAGGCTGAAGCTCTATCCACTGAGCCAAACTGGTTTCGGCTAATTAGGGTGTTTTATTAAATCCAAACAAAATTGTATTCATATAATAAAGCAGAATGTGGTGAGAAAAAAATATGGGCTTTTAAGTGAGATGAACTTAGGTCTACATCATATCCCATGATTATTACCAAGAGACCATGAACAAGTTAATTCTACCTTTATATGATAATGCTGCTGCTTAAATCTGAACTGCATTTCTTAATCACAGTAGTTAAGTCTCAACTTAAACCTTGGAATTTTTTTTTTCCTTTTGGGCAAATTAGCCTCAACTCAGACATCCCTGAGGTCAAGAGAACCATAGATAAATGCTACAGATATTGAGTTTGCCTATAATGTTGTTACTGCTAATATCATAAATATAAAATACCTTTCCCCTAAAACTTTGGCAATAGAACTCAGAGTTAGCTGAAATATTTAAAACATGTTTTTACTTTCTTTGCAGATTATGTGTCTATAAAAACTTAATCTTTTCTAGCACATTTCAGTTCTATTTTTAAATTCAAATTTCTTGAGTTAATCATTTGTAAAAATACCAAGCAAATTTGAACCATGCTGCTATAGGTACCATACTGTTTAAAGAAAAATCATTTTCCAAAGTCTTCACAAATTGAAAAATCAATCAGCTAAATGCATTAGTTTAGACTGATGTCAAGTATAAGTGTTGAGGAAAGACAAACCTGTCTTCAAGCCTGGCTTCATTACTTATTAGACAAATTCTCAGAGAATTTTAAAAATCTCATTGAGTCTTAGTTTCCTTATCTGTAAAATGGGAATAATACCAGTTCCATAGGATCACAGTGAGAGTTAAATGAGAGCCTGTATGGGAAATGCCAAGAGTGGGACCTGGCACATAGAAGGTACTCAGTAAATATCATCTGTCATTAAAGTCACATTGAATTTTGCCTGGAGTGGGAGAACCACATTTCTTGTTAAAAGCTGACCCATCATAAAGTAAATGTCTATAGGCACAACATATCCTCTAAAGTTTACATCTAGCTGCTTTTATTTCTTTCAGTTGTAGAGCTTTCTGGTTTTGTGAATAATAATTTGATTCACATTTGTGTGTTTTAAAAAAATACTGTGCAGATAACACAGAGAAATGAGTTATTCATTTCCAATTCAATCTCCCAAATCAATGGAGATTTTGAGATGGGGTATGAAGGGTGGAATTGGAGAAATAGTCTGGTTGTGTAAACAGGTGTTTATTATAGCTCTGGGATATTTAAGATCAGCCTGTCTTTAAAAAATCAAATACAAATATTTATTTGTAATTATTTCTTCTTTGATAAATTATAAAACAAAGTTTTATACACCTGTTTTCTTTGTTAGGTTTATACCAAAGCCATTTAGAGTTTGTATACTCCAATTTCATAATAAAGGATGTCTTTGAAATGAGAACAATTGCATATTACTTGTCACTAGGATTTTTTTCATGCGCAGGAAATGAAATCACTTGGCAGAAGGGGAAGTTGCTAGAGTAGAAATTACTGGTTTTATGGGTGGCTTTACTTCCATCTTCAAGTAAACAAGATCCCTGCAAGCAATTGAGTCAAGTGACTGGAGAAAAAAACTGAAATGTTTTTAAAATTTTGGTTCAGTGTGTTGTAATTTTAAAAGTATATATTTTTTCTTTAAAAAATTATTTTATTATTTTGTTTTCATAGATATGAAATAATGTAAAAAGCTAAGCTGAGATTAAACAGCAATTTAGATAAAGTAGCTTAAGTTAAAGAACATGTTATGTTGTAATTCATATATTGTGTCTCTCATAATTCTTCTTCTTAATACTTTGATTGTTTTAAAGGTTTTGTTTCAAAATATGGCCTACATTTTTAACTTCTCCACTTTGGCCTTAGGGATTGTGGATGTATTTAAGACACATTTTTACCATAATACAAGCTCCACGTTGGTAGATTCCAGTTAAAAGCACTCAACCCACTTGGGTGCTTGTTTGTTGATATATGTTTTACCCTCTTGAAATCCCATGAGATCAGAGACCATGTCTGCCCTATTTATACTATGTGCCAGGTTCTGGCCCAGAGCCTGCACCAAACAGGCACTCTATAAACATTTCTTGCATGAAAGTACAAATCCTCCACTTCTCAGAACCCTTCTCAACAAGAGCAATATCAACAAAAGGAAGAGAAAATGCTTATGCTGTCTATTTTTTGTTCTCCCACAAGGATAATTGCTTTATTTACAAGAACCTAGAAGAGGTTATTTTTGTTTGTTTGTTTGTTTGTTTGTTTGTTTTGTTTTTTAATATATTTTATTGATTTTCCACAGAGAGGAAAGGAGAAGGATAGAAAGTTAGAAACATAGATGAGAGAGTAACATCTATCAGCCTCCTCCTGCATACCCCCTACTAGGATGTGCCCGCAACCCAGGTACATGCCCTTAACCTGAATCAAACCCAGGACCCTTGAGTCCGCAGGCCTATGCTCTATCCATTCAGCCAAACCGGT